AAGGTGTCAAACGGGGCTTAATGGTAAAGGGTCTTTGAAATTTTGTAAAGAATTAGAAGAATGCAAAAATAAATGAATCTGAAATTTAAGAACCGAGTGTAAATAAAACGGCTCTCACTTTCGATTTTTTCCCTACTTTTCGAAAGTTTGAACCTCCGTTGGAAACAGCCATGGTCAAATGTCAACGTAAAATCTTGGTTTCCTGGCGATTCGGTCAATTTCATGCCAAACCTATTCCTTGTCCACTCCATGCATCCTAAGAATAGTCTCACGCAGGCACAGCCTGCCAGAATGAGTTAATATTCCATACGTAACACCCCACCGTAACACACAAAATTTATTTTTGAAAGGAAAAGCATAAACCATTAACTCACCATCAGTTTCGCCACGAACAAGTCCTCATTTCAGTGCCCTCTTTCTTTTTATCCTCATCTTTCTCCATCCTCTTTTTAATCTTATCACTCTCAACAGGTAACAAACGTAAGTTCTTACATAAAATAAAAAGGGTTTAAATGTTTTGGGTTGGTTTTTTAATTGGTTGTGTTGTGTAATTTACAGGAGTTTTTTATATTATGGAGTGCATTGAAGCAAGAGCGTTGAAATCGAGCTTTCTTTCTCAAACTTCCATGAAAGCTAATTCACAAGTGCTGTTTAACGATGATGGGTGGTGTTGGAGTGGAATTAACAGCGGTCCATGTGATGATTTTCCGGTTGAGGACCTTCTTAATCTTGATTTTTCTGATAAGGATTTTCAAGAGGGGTTGTTTTTAAATGAAGATGGACAAGAGAAGGGTGTACAGCACAGAAATTCGAATTCTTCATCCACTTTTTCTGGCGTCGATGACTTTGATAACGTCCCCTCAGGCGAACTCTCCGTTCCGGTAACGGTTTTTTGAAAACTTTCCATGGTTTCTTCATTTTTTGGAATAAAGAAAAATACTAAAGAAAAAGAACCCATTTTTTGAATTTGTTTACAGATTGATGATTTGGAGAATCTCGAGTGGCTTTCTCAATTTGTGGATGATTCTACGTCAGGGGTTTCATTATTATGTCCGGACGGAAGTTTCATGGAGAAGGCTGGAGAATTTTCGGAGAACCAAATTGTACCGGTGAGTAGACCGGTGGTTCAGAAAATCCGTGTTCCATGTTTCCCGTTGCCGGTTCCGGGAAAAGCAAGGAGCAAACGGCAAAGGCCGAATGGGAAGACTTGGTCCTTGTCGTCACCGGCGTTGAGCGCCGCCGAATCTTCTTCTACGACGTCGTCTTCAATTGGGTCCTCCACGTTGTCTCCTTTTGTGTTAAAAACCCCGGTTCATGACATGGATTGGTTTTCCTACGTGGAAAAACCGCCAGCGAAGAAGCAAAAGAGAAAACCAAAGGCTGAAAGCGGTTCAGTGTCGGGCAGTTCCCAGACTCTTCGTCGGTGTACCCACTGTCTGGTTCAGAAGACTCCACAGTGGCGAACCGGGCCGTTGGGTCCCAAAACCTTGTGCAACGCTTGTGGTGTGAGGTACAAGTCCGGTCGACTTTTCCCTGAGTATAGACCGGCTTGTAGTCCCACTTTCTCTCAAGATGTCCACTCGAATAGTCACCGGAAGGTTTTGGAAATGCGGCGGAAGAAGGAAGTTCTTGGGGTGGCAGACACCGGTCCGACCCCAATCAATCCGTGTTTCTGAGGTTAGGATAGGATTTATTATGAACCGGTTATCGAAACCGGTCCGGTAGGTCTAGCTAGGCTGCGGTTCAAATGTACAATTTTGGTGGTGGATAGTAGGCTGGTAGGTGGTAGGCATAGATCTTCTACGGAAATTGTTGAGGTTATGAATTTAGGTTTTAATTTTAATTAAATTTAATTTTGGTTGTAATTTTTTACTTGCAGTTTTAAATTTAATGAAGAGAGGCCTATAATTAGTTTAATTAATTAAATTTTCGATTATGGGTTTTGTTAATTACTCTTACTTATGTATACTTTATGAAGAATTCGAAACGGTCGAGCGGTTTTTGGTGGATAGTGGGCATTGAAAAGGGGAAAGTAGCACGAAGTTTTGGTGCACTCAAATTCTTTTGGGCCCATTGGGTTTCATGTCATTAGGTAAGTTGGAGCCCACAGTAGTTGTGTGGTCTTACCCACTTTTGGCGAGATTTTAGAAATTAAAATATCTCCTTGTAATAGAGGTAAAAAACAAACACGCACTATTTCACAAAATTCCTAAATTTGAATTTTAAACGATTATTAATATTTTAATGGGAGACACGTATTATCACTAGTGTACTAGTAGTGGAGTCCACAATCCTACAATTGTTGATCAACTTTAGTTTTTTCCTTCATTTTAATCTTGGGATGGGAGCTACGACAAAGGCTGCTACTTAAAATCAATACTTTACGGCGCCTTTTGGAAGTGATTTTTCAACCAAAAAAATTGATTTTGTTGGCCGTTATTTCACTATTTCAGTAATAATTTTTGACTTCTTCTCTCACAATTGACTCTCATTTTTCTTCTAACGGTCAAAAAATCAATTTTGAAAATAACTACCAAATAGACCCCGGGACATTGGCTTCCACCAACAATGAACTATTAAGGATCACATCCCGCACATATTCTACATTATAGCTTGCAACTGAATCAGCTTCTACTTCTAGGAGATCAAACAGAGCTCGATTAGTTTTTGCTAGACGAGAAATAAAGAACATAACCAATACAGGGAACAAGGGAATACCGGACCATATCTGCTATCACGCCACGACAATCTCACTCGAATTATGGGGACCCACACATATTAGTAAACCTATGCTCGAGAGATAGCTGTCCATACACTAATAAGGGATGTATGGATTCCTATCCCTTCTTACCCTGAAAAAGTAGGGGCATCTTACGTTCTTGAATCGATAACCAGCTTTCAGTACAGTATAATGGGGTACCCCGCCAGAACCATACGTGCAAGTTTCCTTGCATGTGGCTCGTTTGTGCTTTTCGAGGCACTGCTTGTGACCCAAATTTATTTGCAACTTAATATAGCATGATTCTAAGGCTCCATTTTGCAAACCTTATAAATCAACTTATAATCGATCAAACTTCATTTTCAATGGTGCATTTCAATTTATACGCATGTATTATTCACTTATCTAATACTTATTTCTATCTATTTATATATTCTTTCAAAACGGGGGCTAATAAATTATTTGCTACTTAGTTACGGAGTATCTACTTAGTTTTTTAAGCCAAGTTATCTATGAAGTTGTAATTCTTATACAAACTTGAGTTTATATTGAATTGAACATGGGTAATTAGCAATTTCACCTTTCACCTTTCATTGCGTAAAATATCATTTTCATCAATTTTCAATAAAATGACGATTTCACCCCTCTATTCAAATAAAACAAAAAGAAAAGAAAAGAAAAATAAATAACTAATTGTAATCATAGTTCTAAATTTTTCAAAATATTACAAATAAGTCCTAAATTCTCTACTACCACCACTTTCATAACCCCACCAGATCACCACCTATAGATTCACATAACACCACCTTTTGGCCACAACACCTATCAGACTCCATCACCACCAGCCTCGTCTCACTCTCCCCAATATCCTCCTCCATAATATTGGTCACCAATCTGTCTGAAACAACCACATTTATAACCTAAAATACCAAACTACCATATACAACCCTTCACGACAATCCTACTTTTAGCGCCATCCATGGTCGCGTTCCACCACTGACGGTTACCCTCATCTCGACAAACATGTACATGGCCTCACATGAATCAAAACTGCCTCAAATTATTTTGTTGTCATTCTAGAACATTCGGCAATGACTACGTTCATTTTGCCAAACTCTTATCCTTCAATTCATGCATCCCACAACACTAAATTCCCAAATTGACATCAATTGAACCATCAACAAGCCTAAACGACAATGGGTATGAATCTAATTGAACAAATTATCCCCTTAACTGTTTCAATTTTTGGTCCAAATCTTTCTACAGGTGCGATGCATAGCGAGAGCTGTCTGACCAAAATTGGTAGTTCCTAAATGCTCCAATCTTTCAAATTCGTATGTGGGAGGATGGCTGGGGAGCAAGGCGACGTTGGTGGTGGTGGAATCCAGTGGGCATGGTGGTTGAAGGTGGTGCTATGTGGATCTATATATGGCAATTTGGTAGGTTGTGAAAGTGGTGGTGGTGGAGAATTTATGATTTTTTTGTAATTTTTAAAAATTTAAGGACTATGGTTGCAGTTGGTAATTCATCTTTTCTTTTTGTTTTATTTGAATAGGAAGGTAAAATCGTCATTTTATTGAAAAATGGATGAAAATGACCTTTTGCCCAATGAACGGTGAAAGGTAGGGATGAAAATGTCAAAAAATTAAAGGTAAGAACATTTTGCACAATATCATTGAAATATAGGGATATTTTGTGCTAATTACCCAATTGAACATTACTACATTCAGTACACATGTAATAGAATTTATATGCTTATCTCGTTCATATTATTCAATCGTGTATAGCAATTGTGCTCATAAGAGACTTTATAGTTAAAATTGAACTTTCGTATTTTCTTGATTTTATTGCAATGAAATTGAATCTGATAATTCAATGCACCAATTTGTGTGGGTGGTTTACTAGTCAGAGTGCCTTATTCTTCAATGCAAAGACTTCGACTTCATTTTTTCTAAAGGCAGAAAAGACACCAATGGAGCGTTGGCATTGATATTGAAGATTCAATTGGAGTGATGATGGCATTAATTAATGGGCCTTCTCGTGAATAATTAGTGTAGCCTAAAGTTACACTCGGACACAAGCATGCCATGTGGGAGTTGGATGGCATCATTATTTCTTGTTTCGCTCGTATTTGTCATCCTTTAACAAATTAAATTATTTGCTACAATAATATTCTCCATCACATATTCACACAATACGATATTCTACACACAAACTAATAAATATGTATTTTTTTAATTTTAACCACACATTCTTAAAAAAATTCTATTCAAAACTCTATAATTTTTACCATAACTGGGGACAAACACGCTCTTCATATTTTGATGTTTGATTATTTTCAACATTTTTACTATTGTTTTTAACTTTTATATAATAAAAAAACTATTTCTCATTTAATTTATAATAAAATTCCGTGTAGGTCATGGACTGCGATTTTGTAAGTGTGTTTTTTTTTTTTTTTTTCCTAAATATTTATTATGAACGGTCTTCACGTTGATGTAGCATGAGATTGACGTTCACGATCACATTAGACTTTTAAAACAAAAGTCCAGCAATTAACAAGAAATGATGCTACATGTAGTGAGTAATTTAACTGAAATTGTGTTTTTTTTTTTTTTTTCGTTGACTCTAACTCTACTCCAATGCAACTTTCTTAGAAGTTCTCATAAAAGTAGGAATTCATTGTTAATTTACAAATATATTCATTTTCATTCCACTTTGATTAAATTCATGCCTAATGTACTTTTCAGCTCAAGTACTTTCATTTGAATTCAAGAAACAATTCAGCAAAGTAATAAATAATTCTTTGTTTTCTCATCTTCATTCACTATAAGGATTTTTAATCAATCGATAGGCTTATATGTGTGAATAATTGTGTGTTATATTAAAAGTTATCGAATTCGGTTAATCCCAGTTAAAAGTGATCTAATAAGGTTTCGATTTTGGGCCGTTATACATCCAATTAAAATGTAGGTTTACATATGTGTAGAGATCGACCCAAGTCCCTAATTCTATGATGGGCCGAATTAGGTCAAAGGGTATCACTATATAAATACGGTTATGGTCTCTAGATCACACGTACGTATTATTCATTCTCTTCCGCATCCCATCACAAAGAGAAAAAAATGTGACTGCGTGTAGATTTGAAAGACAAAATCGCAAAATTCAATCATTGTATTAACCATGTCTGATTCAGGTACGTTTCTACTATAATTCATATATTTTTTGATGATCCAACATGAAGATCCGGTGATTTAAAGCAATAAATTATCCTACATTCACAACTTATACAATTTTCAGAAATTATTATTCGATGAAAATACAAAACATGGGATCTCATGACAACCTAGAATAATTGGTTAATATTCCAGTTTCCATTCTCTTTGAATTCACTCTCTGGTTCTAATTGGTTGTAGCTGTTCGGGGTGGGATAGCATGATTTTTCTATTTATTCTAGCGTTTGGAACCATTCATTTAGATATATATACGGCTGGGAGAATATAATCTAATGGGTGAACACAATATTTATTGGATTTTTTTTTTCCCATTCTCTTTCTTTCCTTTTCTTTTATTTAACTATTCTAATTGAAAAAAATATAAAATCATTTTATCCTTTATAAAATTGATCAAAATTAAGGTCAGATGTTTGATCTTTGAAAGAAAATCGCTCAGATATCCTTCCGTTGTGCAAGTTTAAAAGGATCAAAATCGCCCCCAGGGCACATATCCAAGTGGTAAAAGGGGGGGGGGGGGGAGTGAAGAAATCCAACTTTACTTGAGGCTACTGCGTCAAGGGTTCGAATCCTGAAATATGGATTTGGCTCTTGGATAAGTGCAAGTGTACAAGCAGCCTTCCATCCTATACCCTTGGAGGCATAACCTGCGATTTACTTCCCTCACGATACTCCAGGGCAAAGGCGGTGGGGGTCCCTTAAGGTTGGGGTTCAACCTTTTTAAAAGGATCAAAATAAAAATATGAAAGATTGGAAACCAAGACAGACAGTAATTATCCGTACAATTAATGCAGCTAAATTAAGTGGGCCCCAGATGAGCAAAGTCAAGCTCAATATTAATGACTGTAATTGGATCAAATATTTAGCCCAAAGCTCCCTGCCTGTATCATTGTAAATTCGGTCCAAAACATGATGGGTAC